TTTTTTGAAATAGAGTGTTACCCTGTTGCCCGTGTAATCTTGGCTCACTGCAAACCTCTGCCTCCTGGGTCAAGTGGTTCTCCTGCCTTAGCCTCCTGAGTAGCTAGAATTACAGATGTCCACCATCATGCTTGGCTAATTTTTGTGTTTTTAGTAGAGATGGGGTTTCACCATGTTGGATAGGCTGATCTTGAACTCTTGACCTCAGGTGATCCACCCACCTTAGCCTCCCAGAGTGTTGGGATTACAAGCGTGAGCCACCATGCGTGGCCAGAAACCCAGAGAGTTTCTAGTGCACAGAAAGCACCTATGTGTTTTAAACAAGCATGATACACCATAACTCAAGTTTTACTGTGAGTATAAAGTGATCCTTTACTTTGTACATTGTGATATTTTTCAACTACCAAATTCCTAAAAATAGAGGAATTTTGGATGTTGATCAGTAGGGAAATAAAGTATGGTACATCTATAGCATGGAATTTTACCAGCTGTTAGGAAAGAAGGAATAGGTGTCTCCACACCAAGGGCTGTGGACTGTGGTCCCCTGGGGACATTTGGCCTCTTCTGGAGACATTTTGGTTGTTATAATTGGGGGAAGAGATGTAAGACTGGTATTTGGTGGGTAAAGGCCAGGGTTGCTGCTAAATGTCTTACATGTATGGGATGAGTCCCACGACAAAGAATAATCTGGCCTGAATTTTCAAAGTTGCTCAAGTTAAGAAACTTGGTTATCCATGAATTGTCTAGGAAAGGTATTCATACCAAATTGATACGTTTTTGAAAAGAAGGTGTGCTTATCAATAACTAAGCATTGGTCCACTTTTTAAAACTGAAAGTATTTTTGTGTATGTATCTATGTATATATACATAGATGATAGATATGTTTTTGCATTTTTAGGAAAAATGGTTGGAAGAATACCTGTCAGTCCTGCATCACTGGTTGTACTTCCAGGGTTGAGTTGGGTGGGTGGGAGGGAATTTTCTCTTCCTTTATAATTCAAAGAGGAGTGGTTGGGAACATAACATGGATTTTGTTTTTTTATAAGTCCGACTGACACCTTACCTTTCTGGGATCACACATAACATGAAATAGATTTTTGCAGGGCAGCACAGTGGCATGAAGCGCATTGCTTTCCAAGGGACTGTTCTGTGAAGCTCATCTCTTTATTCTTCTCTGTCTGCCATTAGTTACCACTGAGCTTAGCAATACTAGATTTTGAGTTTCTAAATGAAAAAATAAAATGCAAATAATACAGGGGAATAAACGGATCCAAGTGGTTCAAGATGCATAAAAAGTGTTTAAAGCCATTTCATGGCAGACGGACATGGTGGCTCACACCTGTCATCCCAGCACTTTGGGAGGCCAAGGTGGGTGGATCACTGAGGTCAGGAGTTTGAGACCAGCCTGGCCAACATGTTGAAGTTCTGTCTATACAAAAAATAGCCGGGTATGGTGGCATGCACCTGTGATCCCAGCTACTCCGGAGGCTGAGGCAGGAGAATTGCTTGAACCTAGGAGTTGGAGGTTGCAGTGAGTCAAGACTGCACCACTGCACTCCAGCCTGGGCGACAGAGTGAGACTCTGTCAAAAAAAAAAAAAAAAAAAAAAAAAAGATGGACCAACCGACCTACTTCATGGCAAAACCAAGATTACAACACCCAGAAATGCAACCACTGTGGGAGGTCTATTTTGAATGAATTTGCTTTCCGACAAATTGTCATCAGCAGCACAAAGAGAGGTGTTCAGTAGCCTTAAGAGCCTCTCATTGCCACAGCCAGCCCTGGGAGCATCGTGCTGTGCACAGCTGCGGTGGACCAACATTTCTGTGATGGACCAGCAGGAGCAAGGAGTCAGGAGGTGCCAGGGCTCCAGCATCCATGGGCTGGGAAAACGGAGATGCCTTCTGGGTGTCAGGAGGGGAAGGAGGCACAGCTGAGGAGAGGGGAGAGCTTGGCTTGGCCTGTGTGGAGTTGATATATCCGAGGGACAACCATCTGGAGAGGCCACAAGGATGGTCAGTTAGTTGAGTCTGGTGCTCAGGAGAGCAGTTGAGGCTAGACCTGCACAGTCAGGGGTCCTCAGTGAGGTAGACGTTGGGGTCCAGATGCCATGATAAATGGTTCCCTGGGAGGGCAAAGGGCAGCCCCTAGGGGATATTGGCATTCCTGGGATAGGCACAGAGAAAGGAGGAAATGCCTCAGGAAGAGAACAGAGGGGACAGGACAGAGCTTGAAGAAGGGAGAGTTACTGCAGAGCATTCTGGTTGTGGAGTTAGCTGTCTGGGCGGGTGGGGAACCCAGGCAGTGAAGAGTAAATGACAGGACAGGGCACCAAGGGCCCTTGGCTCATCTTCTTCTGCAGAGCTGTAGCTTTATGTGCATTTTTGCAGCTGTCTCAGTACAGTATGCTCCTCCCCAGACTGTGGGGCCAGGAGGGGCCTCCTCCATTTGGGCCCCATCAGGTCTCCGGCGTTGAGCTCAGCTCTGCAGAGCAGATGGCGAGAAGCAAAGAAAACAAAGCTGTATGGTTAGTAATGTGGTGAGCTCTGGGTGCATTTCTGAGTCCCAAGAAAGGAGGCAATAGAGCAGGAGGGCTTGGAGACCGTGAAGGGGAGGTGCGGTGGATGGAGGAGGGGCTGGGGAGGTTTGGCTCTAGGAGCCCAGGAGGAAGATCTGTATTTGTTCAGCCCCTGTGTGCAGACCCTGGTCGGCAGGCACCTCCTTTAGGAGCTTGAGGGCAGAGATCCGCCTGGGCTGGCACAGTGGTCTGGAGACTGGGAGGAGGGAAGGGCCCTCTTTGAGAACCACAAGCCCTCTCCTTTGCATCTAGCAGAGGTGAGAGAAAGGCCACGCGTGCCCGGGTGTGTGTGTTAGCTCAGGCTGCCAGAACAAAGTAGTATAGATGGAGTGGCTTAAACAGCACATTTATTTCTCTCAGTTCTGGAGTCCAGAAGTCCAAGATTGAGGTGAGAACAGGATTGGTTTCTTCTGAGGCCCCTTTCCTTGCCTGGCAGGCAGCCGTCTCCTTGCTGCGTCCTCACCTGGCCTTTCCTCTCTGCTTCTGCGTCTCTGACACCTCTGCGTGTGTCCGAATTTCATCTTCTTATGAAGACAGCAGTCAGACTGGATCAGCGCCCAGTCTAACAGCCTGGTTTTAACTCAGTCGCCTCTTTAAAGGCCCTGTCTCCAAGTCAGTTACCTTCAGAGGTCCTGGGGTTGGGGTTGCCAACATAGGAATTTTGTGGGACGGGGGCGTAGTTCAGCTTAAAACACAGCCTTTGAACAGGGCTGGGAGAAGCACCTCATTCTCCAGGTGTGTATCCAGCGTCTGCTCTGCAGATTACCTGTTTCCAAATTGTGTCTGTAGGTCAAAGTCATGCCCCTCAGGACCCCTCTTCATGTAGCTGAGACTGAGCTGACTCACTCTAGCCCATGTTCATTGTTAATTTCATGGCCATGGGCTCCGCCAAGACCTAGAACAAGCATAGTAATAAGAGCTCTTAACACTCAGGCCTTCGCTAAATGCTTTTCCATGGACCAGGCATGTGTGGTCTCATCGAATCTCCACCCTGTGAAGTAGGCTGAGGAATCTGAGACTGAGCAATTGGTGTCCAGCAATTGGTGGACAGCAAGGGTTTAGTGTGACTTTCTCCAGAATGGCCAGGTCTGCTGTGCCTGAGGCCTTGGGCAGCAGAGCAGAGGTGCATCTGGTCCCTGTCTTCATGGTGCTGCAGTGGGTAATCTCCCAGGGCACCTTGTTGCGTTGGAGCCCTTGCTGGGACCACTTGGTATTGGGGGAATGTCCTTGGCTTGGAAGGAAGAGGAAGTGCTGGTAGAGTCCATGGGGACCCTGACAGCCAGGTCTGAACTTTTGGCAAGAAAAAAGCGGAGCTATGGTATCTTCTCCCACTTGAGGTGGGAAATCATCTTGCCCAGTTCTGGAATATGGCAGAAACATAAGCTTAGGTCAGAGAGAGAAAGAAAGAGAAGGTGTTCTTAGCTTAAAGAGCCATATGCTTGGCTGGGGGCAGGCTGGGGCTCAGATTCACGTTCCACAGTGTCTGTGCAACAGGCCCTTTCCATTCTGACTAAGCCAGGGTCCTTCCTGTGCAAGGAACTGACCCAGTCTTCTGAGACCGAGGGGAGCATGTGTGTGGGTTGATCTACCCTATGGGAGCTACATTTGGTGAGGGGAGGAGTTGGGGGTCTGACCCAACAGAGGTGCTTGGCTGAGTTCAGATCCTGGTGGGGGAGGAGGTGGCATTTCAACTCCTGGGGGCCTGAAATTAGGTAGTACTCCCAGAGCGAGGTCTTCTTTGAGGTAGCGAGGGTTTCTGCAAGTGCCACTAGGAATCCTAGCTCAGGAGCTGGGGTGTTTTCAGAAAGAAATGTTACGTTCCTGTGGTTTCCCATATTGCTTAGAAAAACACCCAAACTCTGTGTCTCAACCTGCAAGGCTAGATATGCTCTGGTCCCTGCCTGCCTCCTTGACGTCATCTCTTTGCCTCTCCCGTCACTCGGTTTGATGGTCCTGGCTACTCTGGGCTGCCTCCTGGACCTTGCCCCTGTGCCTGTCCAGGGTGTGTGACCTGCAACCCCTCCATATGGAAGTCTCCCTCTTGTCATTCCACTCGCAGTGCTCCTTGACCCCCCAGTCAAAAGTAGCACCGTCATGCTCCACTCCGTCCCTCATGTTAGGAATTAAGATGAGTGACGTCAGTCATCACAGGAATTACCACTCTGATCTGATCTTTATTATTAATAGTTATTTATTAGCTTCCTTATTTGCCACGTTCTCCCCATCTCCCTTCTGTCCCATAGCAGGGATTTGTCATCTCATTTGTGGTCAAAAACAGCCTACAACAAGCCTGACACGTTAGGCATTCAATGGACATTTTTAGAATGAGTGAATAAAACATTCTTTTCTAAATCTAAGAGAAAAACAAAGCAAAAGCAATTGTTCCAATTTCTTCTCTCTCTCTCTCTTTTTTTTAATGCAGGATCTACTGTCCCTGCCATACAGCCTGGTCGAGGGTCAGGTAAGTGCTCCTTTTGTTCTGACTGTGAAGTCTGGTGGAAATGAAAGCAATGGAAAGATCTTGCATCACTGCCTTGCAACTTCACTGCCCAGGACAGACATCTGTAATCAACCACAGTACTGTTCATCCCTTAGCAAGACAGTCACTACTAATTGATCGGGGAAGGCTCATGAGGTCAAATGTACTTGGTATCTTAAACATATGAGCTCCAGAGATGAAGACAGTTTTGCCAGGGTTGAGCAGTGGGTGGGCATTTAAACAGCTTCTTACTGGGGATGATGAGAGGGCTTGCCTATAACTCATCATTGAGCTTTGAAGATGAGTGAAGGAAGCCCACATTCTGGCATTATGCCACAATTTTATTAGCACTGGAGGTACCAGAGCTTGGCCATGTAAGAATATAATTGAACCAAACGGATCTATACCTTGGGGCAATGCATTTTTTAAAATCGATTTCAACTCTACGTTATTATTGTTGCTTAATGAGGAACTAATGTAATTTCTAATGAAGCTACATGGCCCTGGATAGAGGAAGTAAGATTTTTATTTTCCCCACGATGCTGTATCCACTCTTCAATTAAAACCGGAGAAGGAAAATTAATACAAATGCAAGAATTTTTTTCCCCATGATTAGTGTCAAGACAGCATCTTTTTATTACTTATGTAAATTTCCTCTGTAATGGGATTGGAGAGGATCATATGGCTGGCCCTTGAGTGGATTGGAGATGGTTTAAGTGGCAAAGGAGGCTTTGTGGGAGGCGGAATCTATGCTTGCTGTCGTTTGAGCGGTGATTAGGGCATGCTCCGTGCACTCTTGTTCCTCCTCCCATCCCTGTTACTGTCCATCCTTCCCCAGGCTCTTCCTGTTGGCTGCCAGTTACGGGCAGAAGAATTTGTGTAGCTGCGTTTTAAACAAACAAATTGTATTGAGGTGAAATTCACATAACATAAAATTAGCCATTTTCAAATGAACAATTTAGAAGCACTTAGTATATTCACAGTGTTGTGCAATCACTACCTCTCTACTTCCAAAACATTTTCATCATGCCAAAGTAAAGCCCTGTACCCATTAAGCAGTCTCCCCTCCAGTTCTCCTCTCCCCACAGTCCCTGGCAACCACCAGCGTGCAATCTGTCTCTATGGTTTTACCTATTCTGAATTTTTTCACATAAGTGGAATCATACAATACGTGACCTTTTGTGTCTGGCTTCTTTTACTTAGAAAACAGTTTGGCAGTTCCTCCAAAAGTTAAACATAGAATTACCATATGGCCCAGCAATTTCACTCCCACATATATAGCCAAAAGTACTGAAGACAGGTACTCAAACAAGCACATGGACACACATCATCACAGTGACATTATTCGTGGAAGCAAGAAAGGAGAAATAGCTCCATCAGTGGACGAATGGATAAATAAAATGTGGTCTATCTATGCCGTGGAATATCATGCAGCCATAAAAAGGAAAGAAGCAGTGATCCATTTTACAATTTAGATGAACCTTGAAAACGTTATGCTGAGTAGCTACCTTTCGCTTGACCTTTGTGTTGACGTTGACTGGTTTATCAGAAACATAGTCAGAAGTCTCGAGATCCTGGGAGATTGGATCCATCTCAGGATAGAGGTCACTACTTATTCTGTTGTTGGCTTCCCGCCCAGTCTCTTAGCTCAATCCTAGCTTCTAGGGCTGGGCACTGAAAACAGAAGGTGTTTATATCTTTGCCTGTGCTCTTGGTATATGTCTGCCCATCCTGTGGTCACCCTGAACCACTCTGCTTTCTGCAGGACCTAGTGGGGATGGCTGTATCTGGCCAGTAGAGGTTTTCTTGGGAAGCAGGTACTAGAGCAGGCAAGCTCTGACCTGCCTGTTACCTCCTCTCTGCTGCCTTGGAGAGTATCGAGCAGATGGCAGAGGAGTTCTCCCAGGTGCAGCTGCCTTCAGGCATTTAACAGTGCCAGGAGCTTCTCGGAGTCCCCTTTCTTTGTGGGGAGTATTATCCCGGCACCTATGCTCTTCCCCTGACACATCCCATGGGTGGAGAAGTCATTTCAGGACTAGTTGGGTGTTTGGGAGGTGGGCTCTGTTAAAAGCCAACAAAGCAAGGAAGCATCTAACAAAGTGTTCGAGGGGGTTTAGAACCGGCCAGGAATTAGCCCAGGTGCCTATTCACATGTGTTCATCGCTTCTTTCTATACTGCCTGAGTGAGGGTGCCATTGTTTCCCTCCTTGTCAATCAATTTATAATGGAAATACACATAATATGAAGTTAGCCATTTTACAGTGAACAGCTCAGTGGTTTTTAGCGCATTCACAATGTCGTGCCACCACACCTTTATGTAGTTCCAAAACATGTTCATCACCCCCAAAGCAGACCTCATGACCATTAAGCAGTCACGTCCCCTCCTTCCTCCATCCCGCAGCCGGTGACAATGGTGAATCTGTGTTCTGCCCCTGCGGATTTACCTTTCTGGGTATTTTATATAAACGGAATCATATAGTATGTGGTCTTCTGTGTCTGGCTTCTTTCACTTAGCATAATGTTTTTGAGGTTTGTTCATATTGTAGCATTCTCTCCTTTTTATGGCTGAATAATATTCCATTGTAAGGCAAGACCACTTGATGATCCATTCATCCAGGCATAGAAAATTGGGTTGTGTCTGCCTTTTGTCTGTTGTGAAGAATGCTGCTATAAAGATTTGTGTCCAGGTACTTGTTTGAGTTCCTGTTTTTGGTTCTTGTGGGTATCTACCTAGGAGTGGAATTGTTGGGCCATACAGTAATTCTGTTTAACTTATTAAGGAGCTGCCAGATTGACACCGCCTTTTAACAAAGGGAAACAGACTCAGCAAGGTTTCTCCCAGAGCTCCCAGAGTGAGGAACAGAGCCGAGGTCTGAAGCCTTCAAGACCGGCCTTTGCCTGTGTTTCCAACCACCACGCCATCATGCATGTGGAACATCAGCCCTGGGTAACTTGTTCTAGGCTATGCACTGGGCTTGGGCAAAGAGGAGGTAGGAGGGAGAGGGAAAGGGAGACAGGCTCTTCTCATCTAGAGGGACCAAGTGTGTCCATTCCTGGTCCGTGGTATGCCCTGTTTTCCCACTGTAGCCTCTTAACCTCTAAACTTTGGAAAGTCTGTGCAGTTGCTGGGCCTTTTGATTGAGTTGGTTTGTTGATAGGGTGTTTGACCCAGATACACATGCACACATTCTTTCTCTGTGTCTCTCAGTCTCTCTTCATATCTCAGGGCCGACAAAAGCAACTTAACCAAATAATAATGATTCAGGGGGCATCAGCCAGGAGCCATACAATAATCCATCAGCCTAAACCCCTGTAGCACCTGAGCAACTGGGTCTCATCATCTGTCTTTTTCTACCATGGGGAGCAGGTGCCCAGAGAGGTGAGGTAGCCTGTCCATAGTCACACAGCTTGTAAGTGGCAGAGCTGGGATTTGAACCCTGGTCTATTTGTCTCTGCAGCCTGGAACCCTCCGATTACATCTGGAGGCTTCTCCGGGCTTCCTGAAAGCATCAGCATTTTTCATACCAGTGCAGTGATTAATTATTATTTTTGTTTTGAGACAGAGTTTCGCTCATCGCCCAGGCTGGAGTGCAGTGACGCAATCTCAGCTCACTGCAACCTCTGCCTCCTGGGTTCAAGTGATTCTCCTGCCTAAGCTTTCCAAGTAGCTGGGATTAACAAGCATGCACTACCACGCCCGACTAATTTTTGTGTTTTTAGTAGAGACAGGGTTTCACCATGTTGGCCAAGCTGTTCTCAAACTCCTGACCTGGGGCAATCTACCCGCCTCAGCCTCCCAAAGTGCTAGGATTACAGGCGTGAGCCACTGTGCCAGGCCTCATTATTTTTAAAAACCTCGTTACAATTCCAGCTTTCCCAGATCCACACAGTCCCCAGAGCATCTTGAGATGCTGAAAAGTTCTTAGTCGGATGTGAGAAAATGGGAATTCCTATTGAGGAAATGGTATTCCATTCCTCTCTGAAGAGAGGCTCAGGAACCAGCATATTGGAAAACAGGTGATCCAGTCTCTACCGTTAAGGCGATGGTTGTTTTTTAACTGGCCCTGCACTTCTGCCTTCTCCGTATTTCAGTGACTGGGTTGAGGTGGGAGTCTGTTGAGTGGTGTCCTTTTTCCCTCTGAGAGACGCTCTGTAAAACTGGACAGGGAGGATCCAGGTCCCTGGCATTGCAGGCAGCCCAGGAAGCTGGAGATGAGACCCTTCCCAGGTGAGAGAGAGAAAAAGGTGATAAAGGTAGCATGGGCAGGTAGGTCCCCACCCCCAGAGAACTCCCTGTCTCTCCAGGCACCAGGGTAGTTACGTGGTCTGTCTGGGAAGGAACTTCCCCAAGGCCCAGCTTACCGCATTTCCTCACTGCTGAGTATGATAAAGCACTCGTGGGACCTCGGGAATATTTACACCTGCTCCGTGCCCAAGCTTCAGTGACAGTAATTCTCTGACCTTTTAAAATGGATAAATCTCCCTGGCAGGGGTATATTTCTAGAGCTTAGCCTGGAGTGGGGATCAAGGTCCTGGCAAGATGTGGCCAGACCAAGGAGAAGATGTATTATCCCCAAGGGGTCTGTTTTGGAAGCTGCCTTACCCTCAGCCCTGCTCTGCACAGTCTGGGTGGAATAAAGTGTGTTTTTGGCTGGAGTGTGGGTCCTTGCGTCACCTCCCAGAAAGATGAAAGCAGGCAGGCTGTTTTTCAGATTGCGATGGATTTATTCCTTTGATCTCCTTGCCTTGTCTGCCTTCTCTGTGAGCTCTGACGGATGCTCTTTTCTCATCTCTGTTATTTGCCGTCACACGGAAAATGGGGTGAGAATCTTATTATGACGGCTCTCTCCCTGCCTTCCAGCATCGCCAGGGAGCATAATAACCTCTGTGGTTGACAGCGCCCTCCCTTTTGTTCTCTTTCCCTTCCTCCCCACTCCAGAGCTTCTACCCACGAGGCACAGGGAAGCCTGCAGAGGAGGGCC